TATCTATGAGCACAGTATGTTCTTCCATTTATATAGATCTCTTACAGTTTCTTTGAGTAGTGATTTGTAGTTTTCTTTGTACAAGTCTGTTGTGTCCCTAGGGAGATTTATTCCCAAGTATTTTATTTTATTTTTGGTAGCTATTTGTAAATGGTATTGATTTCCTTATTTCCTTTTCAGCAATCTCTTTGCTGGTGTACAGGAATCCAACTGATTTTTGTATGCTGATCTTGTATCTGACCACTGTGCTAAATCTCTCAATTAGTTCCAGTAGTTTTTTTTGCTGAGTCTCTTGAGTTTTCTAAGTATAGGATCATATCAACAGCAAACAGGGATAGTTTGACTTCTTCCTTACCAATTTGGATGCCTTTGATTTCCCTTTCTTGCCTTATTGCCCTGGCTAGGACTTCCAATACAAAGTTGAATAGAAATGATAATAGAAGGCATCCTTGTCTGGTTCCTGTTTGCAAGGGGAATGGTTTCAGCCTCTCTTTGTTGAGAATAATGTTGGCTGTTGGTTTTGCATATATTTCCTTTATTATGCTGAGGAATGTCCCCTCTATTCCTATTTTGCTGAGAGTTTTAATCAGGAATTGGTGTTGGATTTTATCAAATGCCTTTTCTGCATTGACTGATACGATCACGTGGTTCTTCACCTTAGTTTTATTTATGTGGTGGATGACATTGATTGTTTTACTAATGTTGAATCATCCTTGCATACTTGGTATGAACCCCACTTGGTCTTAATGAATTATTATTATTTTTTGATATGTTGTTGGAGTCCATTGGCCAGGATTTTGTTGAAGATTTCTGCATCTATATTCCTGGTTTTTTTGGATTTATTCATGAGCAATATAGGTCTGTAGCTTTCCTTTTGAGTGATATCTTTGCCTGGTTTGGGTATCAAGGTTATGCTTGCTGCATAAAATGAATTTGGGAGGATTCCATTCTTTTCTATGTTCTGGAATAGTTTGAGTAGGGTTGGTGTCAGTTCTTCCCTGAACGTTCGGTAGAATTCTCCAGTGAAAGCATCTGGGCCAGGACTTTTTTTGTCAATAATTTTTTTATAACCTGTTCGATTTCTTCTTTTGTTATCGGTTTCTTCAAATTTTCCACCTTAGCCTGTTAGTTTAGGTAAGTAGCATGTTTCTAGAAATCTGTCCATATTTTCTAGATTTACAAATTTTACAGAGCATAGTTCTTCACGGTATCCTGATATTATCCTTTTAATTTCTGTTGGTTCTGTTGTGATGTCACCCAATTCATTCCTTATTTATGTCATTTGTATTCTCTCCCTCTTTTCCTTTGTTAAATAGCCAGTAGTCTGTTAATTTTATTAATTTTTTCAAAAAACCAACTTCATCTTGTTGATTTTTTCTATTGTCTTTCTATTTTCTGTTTCATTTACTTCTGCTCAAACCTTTATTATTTCTTTTCTGGTGACTATAGGCTTTTTTTTTTTTTTTTCTGCTCTTTTTCTAA